AAACATCCCAGTCCCTATAAACCACCATTCTACTCTCCATTTCTATAAGATCAAATCTTTTAGATTCCACATGAGCAAAATCATGTGGTATTTGTCATTCTGTGCCTGGCTTGTTTCACTTAATGTTCTACAGGTTCATCAATATTTTTGCAAATGACAGGATTTTCATCTTTTTAAGGGCTGAATAGTATTCTATTGTATATAGACCACATTTTCTTTATCTATCCATCTACCATCCATCCATCCACTGGACATATAAGTTGATTCTATATCATGACTGCTGAAAATAACGCTATAATAAACGCGGAAGTACAGATCTCTCTTCTACTGATTTCATTTCCTTCAAATATATACTCAGTGGTGGGATTGCTAGATCATATGTTGTTGCATTTATAATTTTTTGAAAAATTTTTACAGTGTTTTGCATAATGGCTATACTAATTTACATTCCCACCTTAGTAGTTTTCTTTTAAACATTCATGTTTATTTTATTTAAATAAATCTATTTAAAAGATATTTTGATATCATTATTCTAAGTATGTCATTAATCTCACTTGCTTCAATAGAAGAAAACCATAAAAGCAAATACAAAGAAAACAAAGCTATTAAGTTCTAGCTGTATACTGAAGCCTTGAGCAGAAGCTTGTTCTCCCTGTTTAAAAAAAGAAGAATTCAGTATGTGTTAGAGGGATTAGAGACATACTGGCACCAACTATATTTCTTCCTTTAGAAGGATTGAAACAGAACTTAAAAGGGAATAACTTGCTCAGTATGTGATCTAGTGCTATTTAATGCCACCATCCATTTCTATCTTGAATCATCTCAGCATGTTTCCCATGCTTTGGGAGGGCCATTAGAAGAAAAAAGAAGGAGCACTGTTCATTTAATATTGACCAGTCTTGTTTTTAAAGGTGTATTATATGCACTGATTGTCTATTTTCAATGGAACACATTATATTTTCTTATCAATTTCAACTCTCATTCAGAAGGTCTAAAAAAATATTATTCTTTCACTCCAATTTTTAAATTCAAGAGGGAAAATTTGGTTTTCTGAGAGGATAAATAATATCATATTTGGTTGTACACCATGACACATTCTACAGTATTGGTTAAAATTAGAAACAAAACTGTAAAATAAGCTTCTCCTAAATCTATATCTATACGGTGAAAACAAAACCTACCATAACCTGGGAAAAGGCCTTCCAATGTTTCAAAATTTAAAACTATACTAGTAATATTTGTTTAAGCCATCAGAAGGAACTATGTATTACCCTTGCCTTTACAGATAATAAATTAAACCTGGGATAATATTTCCAAATGGTGTTCCTAGGAATAAACATACATTAATAACAGATGACAAATAATTTGATATATTCTTTAGGTCACATCTCAAGTGGAGTTAAAATTGAAAATTTGGTATACTTATTTACCCTTTCTAAATTATAAAAAAAAAATCTGTGCTTGAAACATAAAGTGAATTACTTTAGTAATATTCTAAAAGCAAAACTGCAATTTATATACTGCTTTTGAGCATACTCTATTCTCAGAACTTTATTGGAAATGTTATATATTTAGTAAGAAGTAGATGTACCACACATTTTAGAGACTTCTATTAGGAAATATAATTCATACCAAGAACATAAAAAAATACAAAAACTCAATTTGCTAGGCAATTCATGTTGTCCATTTTGTTCAGTTATTCAACAAATATTTATTGACTACTATGTGTCAGCTACTGCTCTAGACATTGGAGATAACAGCAATGAATAAAATAACATAACATAATAGATAAAATCACCTACCCTTTTAGAAATTACATTCCAGTGTCCTTTAGGTTTTTATTGAAATGTAGCATGAAATGTGTGTGATGTTTCCATTTTTAAGAAAATTTATTTTATTGTGATTTCAACTTAAAGGAGTTTTATGAGAAGAACATTATCTTACTCTTTAGTTAAAATAAGTATTGTATGAAAAAAAACAATAAAAGCAGTAAAAAGAAACAGAGCATTTTCCTTTGCCTTTTACATTTCCTTTTGTCTTCTTTACTGTCACTGTTTTATAGAAAAGCCCTGGGAACAGAGAACCATGATGTGTCTTTTTGTCCCCAAAACCCAACCTTAAGCCTAGCACTTAACTGGAACTCAACAAGCTGTACTGGATAAATGAATAACTTACACAGGTATTTACAGTGTAAAATCAAATCAGGAGTAACCAAAACCATTGCATGAATGTTTAACAAAAGATACCCAAATGGTCTGAGTAAGAACTATTTTTGTTACCATATTCTCTTTCACCTGTCCAGAAATGCTTCCAAGAAAATTCTAAAACCCTGAAATCTTTCTACCATTGGCCTTCAGGCACCATAATGTAATTGTTACCTTACAGAATGAAAGTGAACCTTTTCCATCTTCCTTAACAAATCACTAGGGCCTGAGAAGGGTTGGAAGACTACGTGTGTTCGAGTGGGGAAGGTGGTGTTTAGGGATGATAAAAAGTGGCAAGGTGCAAAATAAGAATTAGTGCTTCATCCAAATTGTCTCATATGCAGGTGAATGACTTGATTCTTTGGAGCAATCATGTTGACTAGTGTTGTCATACAGACAGAACTGGATGCCTAAAACCTTAAAATTTTATATTTTCTTCATTTTCCTTCCTCCCACCAACTCCCCCAGCACCACAGGGCATTTAAGTAAAGCAAAGTGGGCCCAAAATGCCATTCTTAATGTGGGAAGAATACACTATCTAAATGTGCCCAGAAAACAAACAAGGAAAGATTTCAGTGTTGAAACAACCAGTTGCAAGTCAGAGGAAAGAGTATCTGCCCCAACACATTTCCTTTCAGCATCAAGTTCAGCCAGACACATTCAAGGTTGGATTTAATGTCGTTTCTTCCAACTCTGGAAACAATTCCAGTGGAAGGCTCAACAGTGCAGGTAAGACCACTCATTTCATGACTCATAAATCACTAATTGTACATCTTTACTGAAGAAAGGTCTTTTTCTCTAGCTGTTCAGAAGGAACAATATTTGCAAATCATCAGGATTCCAGAGAGGAATTAGAAGAATTCTGCAGATTTCACTGCCTGAACATTCATTAACCTCTACCTTTCCCAACCAGCTAAGAAATTGCCTAGTCTTTATTGTACCATAAAAACCTAAGTTAACTTTCTCTTTAGCAGAACAGGATCTACAGCAGGGAAAAAGAAAAGAAAAAAAAACTCTCATGATTATAAAAACAAAGAGAAATGTTCAGCAGTGATTTCTTCAGTTAAAGAAGAAATTGAGGAAGCAAGCAGGTTTACTAATTTGAAATAACAATTCAAACACTCCAGACAGATCCTGTCACTAACGTGAAGAAATTTAGCTTTAATGATATATATTCCATTATGACATTACTCATTCTTATTTTTGCAGGTTTTAAAAAAAACAACAGGTTCTGTACTTTAATAAGGTCTTTTTCTTTCAATATTATCATCATCCTATCCATCACTGCAACATAAAGATGTGGTTTGAAGAATTTCCCATCTCAAAGAATGCCTTGTATCCCCATCAGCAAAGTAGGCATACTCTGGGAGGCCAGCCAGGATGTGGGAAATGCCTCCTATATAAAACTGGATTCTTAATATGTATGTTGAAACTGGATTCTACCTGTATGGCAGTTCTTTTGTATTAACTAGTGCTCTCAATCCTTCAAGAATACAATAAAACTTTAAATCTTTCATTTTTCCATTCTTTTGAAAAAAAAAGGAAAATAAGACTTAAAAAGTTTTCTAAATATTTTAGCAATAGCTCAAGTACATTTTTGGAGGTGCCTGAGTATTTTCTTTGGCTAAATAAGTTTATGCAAAATAAACTCAAAAATTCTGTATTGTGCCTTAGGAACTCTATTTTGACACACTCCAAGACAGAACCGAACCTTCTTTTTCCCTACACTATGGTAATAAAACAACAACAAAAAAACGTTAACCAGTAAAATAGCAGGTTTTCAGGAGGTGAGAAGGTTTGAATTAAAGTTACCGGACAAGACAGTTGTCAAACCGCACCTCTGGCTTGGTGGTTCCCTTTCCTCCCCTCCCCCTTCTCTCCCAACGCCAAGGCGGTGATGGAGAGGGGACAAGAAGGGCGAGGCAGAGATTCGTTCAAAACTGCGGGTTTTTCCAACTCCGCACACCTGCCGCCTCTCCTCCTCCACGCGGTCGCGGCCAACTTCCCGCAGAACACCCAGGCCCACTGCCTCACCTGGCCCACCTGTCCAGCCCACCTCCTCTGCAAGCCAGAGGGGGGCGGGGCGAGCCCAGCGCCCAGATGTGTGGGCGGGGCGCGCTATTTTATTTTTTTTAAGTCTGCCTCCTGGGGGATGTTGATTTGGCGGGGTATGCTCTTTGAAATACTATATTGGGAAGCTCACACTTAAAAAAATATATATATTTTTTAAAGAATCGCAAACCTTCTGCTCCACTCCGCAGCTGGAGAGCAGGCCCGAGGCGGCGTCCCCTCCTTCTCACCGCCCCCGTCCCCCTCCTTCTCCACAACTCCCCCCTCCCGCCACTGCCCGGAGCGGGACTGGCGGGAGCCGCCCCCTCCCGGGCGCCCACTTGGTTCCTCCCAGCTGCCCTGTGAATGGGCCGCCCTCCGGATTCTGCGGAGGGGGGCGGTGGGAAGAGGCCGAGTCCCGGCCCCTGCGGCCGTCGCCCCCGCCCCCGCCCCGCGGCGGCCCACGCCTGGATCTGCGTCACTCGGCCGCGCGTGGGCGGGAGCCGGAGCGGCGAATGTAGCAAGAGCGGAATCTCCCAATGTGACAGCGCGCGGGGGGTGGAGGCGGCGGCGGAGGCGGGCGGGGGAGGGGGAGGGTGCAGAGCGCAAGGGGAGGGCGGGGGAGTCGCCGCCGCCGCCGCCGCCGCCCGCGCGTTCGAGCCCGGAGGAGCCTCCGCCACCGCCACCGCGGCGGAGCGAGCGCCGTCGGGGCGGGCGGGCGGGCAGCAGCGGCGGGCCCGAGCCGGGGGGAGCAGGGAGAGCGCGCCCACCACCTTCCCTTCCCCCCTCGATGGGAGCGGGGGCGTCCCGGCCGCTGCAGCCGCCTGAGGGAGAGCCGGGGGCTGCCTCTTCGGAGTTGGGGCTGAGCTGTCCACGGGGGAGAGCGCGCCAAGACTGCTGCAACTGCGGGCCAAGTACGTACCCCAGCCGACGTCCGCAACTGGGGTCGGCCGGGTGCGGGACGCGTTCGCGGTGGTTCGGCCGCAGGGCGGGCGTCCTGGGGGAGCTGGCCCTGGGCGTCCGCCGCCGGAAGGAGAGGCGGCCTCGGGCTTGAGTGGGCGATCCTGAGGAACGCTGTGCAGGGACGCGGGGTGGGCGAACGCGGCAGCAGCCCCGACTGGTGCGTTTTCCCACCGAGGCGAGGAAGCTTGGGCATGTGTCCACTCTCCTAACCGGGCCTGGGTCGTCTCGCGGTGCCCTCGGGCATCGTGGGTCTGTGTGGGGTGGTGCGTCGCGGGTGCGCGCGCGGGCCCCAGAGTTTCAAGCCGCCTTCGCCGGGGGGCAGACTCTTTTTTGTTTGTTTACTTTACAAAAGTGCTGCACTTAGTGTCTTAATTTTTTCCCTGGATATTCCCTTCTTCCGAAGGTAGTTTTCTTTTTTAAAAGCGGAAGGAGAGTTTTGTTTGGATGAGGCTTTCAGAAACTTGGCACCGAAGTGCAGGCATTGGAAAGACTCAATGTGCCCCTAAAGCCGAGTAAGGAATCTGCAAAAGATGCGGGGCGTAGAAGTCTTGGATGGAGAGGTGTTTTGACTTTGTCAGTGAGAAATACTGAAGTAATATCAAATATTTGTGATCTGCAATCTTAGGGTTCACAAGATATGAAACGACACTTAAGTTGCAAGATCTTGTAGAAAAGTGTAGCCGGATTTAAAATTTGCATATGTGGATTGTGCAGACCAAGTCTTGCAGCAGGTGATTTGGAGTAATCCTGGATTTGCATACAATTACCCCTAGTTCCCTAAGATTCCAGAGGCTTGGGAAATTTTGGGGTGACCGTTAATTTTCAGTTTCATCTGAGAAAGCCGATTTGGAGTAACTTGTCACTTGCCATTTGGTTTGCCTGTGACGTGTCTGGCAACTCTTAAGGAGTGCAAAGATCAGAAGCTGAGAGGGAAGTTTTCAGGTCTTGTTTAAAAATATTTTGGCAGATTTAATAGAGAATATTAGATTGCATAGGAACAGAGGAACCGAATTTAAACTAGATCAGTCACATACAAAATGTCTTAGTTAGAAAAGTGTACATACAGTGAATTATCTTCTTAGATTTTCACTTTGTGAAAACTATCTTGGTATTACATTCCCAATTATGACTTTTTGTGATTATCAGTGGGTTTTAAGAAATATTGAAGAGAGAATGCAGAGGACTTGTTTTCTGTTTTGGATGGAGGCTCTCTCCCTGAAGAGCTGCTTCCAATCCAATCTGAGTTCCAGTAAAAGTGTCTCTTAGATTCAAGGTATATCCTTTTTTCTTTCATGTTTATATCATTTGAGACATTTAAAATTGTTCTTTCATTAAGTTTAAGAGGTTATTTTGTCTGGATAGGACAAATGGGGCTAATATGCAAATAAGGATAGAGTTAAGAATTTCTAAATGACTTACTGGCAAGGTCAGCCTTCCTTATTTCTGTTTGGGGTATTAGATATTGGAACTTTATCTTGAAAGAACATGTTTTTGAAAGAAAATTTCAAAGAAACTTTGGAAGATTTAAAAAAAAATTTACCATCTTTCACTAAAGCTAGTTTGCCATCCCTTTTGAAAATACTTTGTTTTTCCTGGCTGTGGTGGTCTCTTTGTATACATTAATTCATCATTAATAACAGTAATAATAAAACATGGAGGTACTGTAGATTTTTATTTCATTCTGTAATTTGTGGTTGTAATTCAGATGACAAAAATCCTTAGGACTACTATAGCAGATACAGGTGATTAAGTGCACTTATATGTCTGTATAATCGAATAATCTAATAAATACTTTGTTATTTTTAAAAATTATTAATACAGTTGCATAATTTTAGCTAACCTAAAATTACATCAAAAACATCCACCGTAGTGTTGGAGAGTTAGTAGATTTTTGTTCTTCTGGTTATCATTTAGAGAATCAGTTAAAGCATTAGATATTTTCTTGTAATCACACTTTAAGAACATACTGACTTATTAAGATTTTGGGGGTTTGCACTCTGGGTACTTTGAAGAAATTATAAGGTCAGGGAAACCTTTGAAGAATTCATTGTTTGAACTTCAAATTTTAAAGTCAGAGACTCTTGGGATACTCTTGGATAGAAACAGAAGTATGTTGGGGTTTTGAGTCTGTTGACTTAGACTCTGTCCTAAAACTTACGTCTTATGTATTCAGTTATAATAAGCCTGTAGTGTTTGTTGTTGTTGTTGTTCATATGCATTTCCGGAAAGAGAATCTTTATAAGATTTACCTTTCAATATGAAGCTGTGTTCTGGATACCACATAACCATCACATATGTTACTTTCAAAGAAGTGACCATTTTACAAACAGTTTAGGATCATGCTAATGTGTAATCATCTTGTGTATGCAAATATGTAATATTAAATGTATTACAGAATAAATAAAACCCACTTGAGCATGTAATATAAGGTTGCTAGCACCTTTGCTTTGAATTTATGTCTTACCTGATTCTTCCTTTCTTTTGAGTAGTAGAAAGAAGAATAGTACAGTTATTATACTAAATGCAAATTTCTTTTCTGAACTGACATGTTCAATAACTCATACAATAGTAGAATGTACTCCCTTAAAATTAATAATGGAACAAGTGAGAAATTTCAGAAGTTGATGCTGGGAAAAAATATTAATCCTCATCTTGTGAGAATTCTGACAGCTAAAACATACCATTAAGCTTTCAAATAGTTTGTCATTTCTCAATACTTTGTGTTTATGAGACTGCATGTCAATTTGCATGTTATGTTAATTTTTACAGAGAAACTTGTAAAAAGGTGGCAAAATTTATATATATTGCCTATGAAGTATATCTCCAGAGTGCTTTTAATACCTGTTGAATGGTTTGACTGTTGGTTGATTGAAGAATTTGTAGGCATTATATGAAATGCTAGTATTTGCTTATTAGGTATTAAATTAATGCTGTGATCATCTAATAGCAAAACAAATATGATTTACTTTTTAAAAAATCAATAAATGCATTTAAACTTGCCCATTAAATATTTTTATCCAATCATAAGGGTGAGGATCTTTAAGGCTTTTTTCCCAGCTAAAGAATCAAAATTTCCCAAAGTATCATTAATTCATTAGAAACCATGTATTTAATTCAGAGTATCTTCATTTAAAATATTATTGCATGCTTACTAATAAGTATGCCTAGGTAAAACTTTTGGACCTTGAAACATACATAGGAATTAGTACCCAGGCCATTCCTGCAACATTAAGTAACCCATGAAATTCAATCATTTTAGCTTGAGTTCTGGATTGTAGGACTAGGATAGAAGTGTGAATTCATTTCTTGGAATCTCATCCTTTCCTAAGCCAAATTCTATTTTTGGCTTTCTTTGCACCTTTCTCCCAGGCCACTGTACCTTCAAGCTACACTCCTTCTAAACCTGGCTTACTTCAGAAGTTTTAAGTGTAGTCTCTGTCCTCAAATTTACTTCTTCCTTTGTCCCCATTTCCTATCTTAATCTTTCATCCCCTTAACATGCAACAGATCTCTTCTAGATGTTAAGAGAAAAACAGTTCAGTGGAACTAATTCACCTTAATCTGTTAATGATTCATGAGCTCTTAACCAAGGTTTTTCACATTTTTTGGGTATGTTTCTAAGAGTCCTCTGTATAAGTCAGGCCTTAACTGGGATTTTGCTTTTGATTTCTTTCTACTTAAAGAGTCTTTTTCTCTTTGAATGTCACAGACTTCATAAAAAGTGTACATACACACATATACACATATGTGGTAAATGTTTGGGTATATAGCAATGGTTCCTATAGCAGGAAAGGGAAGTTTTCAAGAATAGTGATTATGAATCCATTTAAATATAATGGTAATTTATAAGATATTTGTTATTTGGGACTAATTTACATTAAATTTAATTTTAGAAACACAAAAAGACCTAGGGTATTATGAATAAACTTGAATTCTTAAAAATGTTGGTCTTAACTGGTCGTGGTAGTACACACCTGTAATCCCAGGATCTCAGGAGGCTGAGAAAGGAAGATCTCGAGTTCAAAGCCAGCCTCAGCTAGCATTGTGGCTCAGTGGTAGAGTGCTTGCCTAGCACTGGTGGGGCCCGGGTTCGATCCTCAGTACCACATAAAAATAAAGGCATTGTATTGTGTCCATCTACACCTAAAAAATAAATATTAAAAAAAAAAGCCAGCCTCAGCAAAAGTAAGATGCTAAGCAACTCAGTGAGACCCTGTCTCTAAATAAAATATAAAATAGGGCTGGGGATGTGGGGTCAGTGGTCAAGTGCCCCTGAATTCAATCCCCAGTATCTCCCTCCACCCCAAAAAATCTGGTACTAACCACATGCAGTTCCTATATTTGGGAGCACATCCTTTGATCTCTTGGGAAAATAGCCATATTATAAGAGTCTACCAAAAGGCCTTCTAAGAAAGAGAAAGTATTGAGGATGAGAGAATGAAAAGAATTATAGGTAAAGTAACAGAATGTACCATTATTAGATTGACATTTCACTGGGACGCCAATTTACCCAGAAGGTGTCCCTTTTGAAATACGAGAGGAGGCTGCTGATCAGACTCTGACTCAAATTTTGGGTTTCATTAAACAATCATTATAGAGATGCTATTCTACATAGAACACTTTGCTAGGAATAAAGGTGAATAAAAGATTAATGAGATCTAATTCCTATCCTCTGGGTGCTTGTAACTACAATAACTTGTTCTACAGAGATAGGTTAAGTCATCTTTGTTCTGTGGATCCTTTGTATGACATGTTGCATAGCATTTATCACAATGTTTAACCGTCTGCTTCTTGTCTATCTCCTTCCCCTTAATTGTATTCTTTATAAAGGACAGTCTTTACTTTGTATCCCCAGAACTGACTCAAGTGTGTGGCATACTTGAATAAATTAAAAAAAAATGAGAAAGATAGGAAAAATTGTGGGGTTCCAAGAAGGGAGAGGACAGTGTTTGAAAGGCTTTATGAAAAAGGTTGTAGAGGAAGGATGTCTGGCCTTGGGCAGAGAAATGGAAGGCACATTTGAGGTATGCCCAGGGGCTCTTTTTGGCCTGAGTACAGGGTCATGTTAAGAAACAGATTTGAAAGGTTTGGATCTGAGATGCCCATGTAAGTAGCTTGGGTTTCTTTTTCTAAGCTGCAGGGAAATTTGCATAGATGAGTGAAGATGGGAAATGAAGTTAGTATTGCAGTGTGGGATGTATTAAAGGTGAGAAAGCTATTTTCAAAATTGGGCAAGAAACAATAAAAATCAGAATTAGGTACCTTTGAAACAAAGAAAAAGGGTGGCATGGTCTAAGGACATGTAGATTTGAGGATGGAAGAGGAAAAAACAAAGATGGAATCCACATTTTTATCGATCCAGGAAATCAGAAAAGTCATAGTGCAACTAAAATTGCACCAGGAAGGTGTGAATAGTGAAATTGAGAATCCAGAAAATGAGACAATGTCCTTGCTTTTGGACATACCAAACTTGAGGTTTTAACAATCCCCGGGTGAAATTCCATATTATATAATTCACAAGAAAATTTGGTTCTGATAGTTCTCAAACTTCTCAGATGTAAGGATCACTTTTTAAATTAAAAAAAAATGTAAGGATCACTTTTTAAATTAAAAAAAATTGCAAATGTGATAATTTTGCTTTTAGCATTTGTTTATTGAGAATACATATTCTACAAAATTTAATTACACTTTTAAATGAGTTTTTATTTCATTATATCACAGAAATATTATTTTAGTTTCATATATAAGGTGGACATGTAACTCAGCAACCAGAGCTTGATGTACATTGGATTTGAGAACACTTTGAGTAACTACCTAGCCCTTGGTTTTGAACATTTGGTCCAAGCTGTAGATAGAGATTTGGCATTCATTGCCTATAGTGATAATTGAAGCCATCAACGGGACAGATCATCAGGGGAGAATATGGACAGACAACAGAAAAAAGACCTAATGTAAAACCTTGGAAGCTGGGTTCACTGATGGACATCTGTAGCCTCAGCATTGAGGCGAGAGGATCACTTGAGCCCAGAAGTTCAAGATCAGTCTAGGCAACATAAAAAGACCCCCCACTTAAACAGAACAAAACAAAACAAAAAACCTTGCACTTAGAACACATTCAGAGAAGGTAGGGAAAACAAAATGATACAACATTTACCAAAGTCAAATGAAAAGCATTTTAAGGAGTGACTTGCAGCAGAGAGATTAATGAGAGAGGAAGAGACCAGGTGATAACTCAGTAGTTACTAGAGATTGATAGATTGATGGGGTCAGAAAGCTGGCTGGATTGAGACCTCTTTGAAGGAATGATTTTTCTGTTCCCTAGGGACCATGAAAGAGGCCTCTGTCCTCCCCTATATCCTCACATGGCAGCTTGGAGAACATCATATAAAGGTTTTGTTTTCCACAGCAAAGAAGTTGTTCAGTAAAGTCTTTCTGTATAAGATAGCTCCTTATGTCACTTAGCATAATTTGAATCTTGCAATTGACTGATGCTCCTTACAAGGAGCCAAAGTGAGATATATTTGTTTTAAAGATTTGGGACAAATCATAACCATTTAAAATGGATAAATGAATAAACATCATCAAATGGTCTAACTAATCTGTTATTTAACTCTTCTTCTTTAATACTGGTCTTTTTATTGGACTGACCAGGATGAGGAATGTATAAGCTCCTGTAAATGGAAGTTTGCTGTGCAAGAGTAGCAAGGCCTCCTATTATCTTTCAAATGTAACAAGAAAACTTCTTTCTCTTAATTGTGGATTTTTCATGGAAAGGTCAGACTCAGCATGGGGTTCCAGGATGTTTTGCAGAAGCCTTGGTAATGCTTCTCAGCTGAGTAGATTTACTATACTATAAGCTATCTGAATATATTGTGACCCTTTATATTTACTTCAGACCAGAGAGATGCAGGTTGAAATTTGCTTTTAACTTATTTGAACTTTATGTTGAAGCATGAATTGTTACAGGTTTTATGAAAACAGAGAAGCCCATCTTATAAAAGTTTTCTTTTAAATTGAACCAAGTTAATGTATGAAGTGGTGGGTGTTTAAATTATCACAGCAGGCTTTGGAAGGAAACTGAAACATTCTCCTAAGGTAAAAGCTTAGGGGAAAAAACTTTTCCCAGCAGTAAGTATGGGTCTTTAGAAAGCCTCCTGGGACTCTGAATAGTTTGCTTACTTATCTTTCAACTCTTATCTTGACTTTGGAAATGTATACTTGGTCCTATCAGTCCTTATGGAGTTATTATATCCATAAGTACTACTTCCTGGTTTGTGAGTGCTTCTCTAGGAAGTAGGGAGTTTTCTTTTTTTTCTGTGTCAATAGGAAAAATAAAAGTTGAAAAAATTATTATTTTCTAAAGTTACTGCCTTAATAAGTTTGGGTCTTTTAGCTCTCCTTTTATTGTTTCTCTTATATTTGTCTACCATGTATTTTTTTTAGATGTTAATTAAAAATATTTCAAAACCCTATTCTAGATTTTTGTCATGTTCTCTATTCCATAACATAAGGAGTTGAGTGATGGTGATCACTCCATAAACACTGCATAGTTAGTTCTTATTAAAAAGGTTATCTATGTACATGTTTATTTATATGTGTATGTATTGTATACTCCAGTTGAATGCATGTGGAACAATTGTATTAGGTGTATGATGAGAAAGTGAATTTCTTCCACTTTGGACTTTTTTAGAAGCTCTTCTATTAGGTTTAATGTAAACATCTGTAACTCCCAAGGGCCGTGTTTTTGTGAGCTCACATCCAACAGGAAGTTAGACTCTTCCTGAATTGGGAGGACAAGCAGATCCCCATTTAGGTGATTTAGAAAATGCTAAGATATTTTTATCCAGACAGCTGAGATGGCATGAACCCTAAGGTGAACCTAAAGAATGTAGATGATCACAAAACCTGTACAGTGTCTGTGTTGCTCAGAGGAAATACTAAATAGAGATCTTCTTGAGCAGTTTGCCTCATTTACTGAATCCTTGGAGGGACCTGGGAAACTGTTTTTCAATAGCATCTCATGGAGAAGTTACTGAACATTAATTTGCTCTTTTTATGTCTTTTTGAATGTCAACAGGCCATGTCCATACTAGCCCTTGAAAATAACCATCAAGTTTAGGAGATCACTAGTTGATCAAAACAGATTGTGGATGATATAAAGGTTCTTGGAGATGGGGCTTCTCAGCTGTTAGTCTTTAGAGTGATAAGGAGATGTGTTCTCTTTGTTGTGGTGAGTGAAACTAGAATTTTATGTAGCATTCTGACTAGTGGTATTTGAAAACATGTACCAGGTTTGGTGACTCTTGATTTCAGGAGTGTTCCTTATATGCCTTTGCTTGCATTATCTCTTAAGTTAACTATTGCTTCATACCATTTGAGTTGAGAATAGACTTCTTAGACTTCTATTTTCTTCTGATGTATGTATTCTTTTAGCCTTCTGTAATTTTCTCCACAGAGGGCTCCAGGGTCCTTTAATCCTAAAGGTGCATTGACTGCAGCAAGTTTATTTTTCTTAAATGGAAATACTTGGCCAACTCTTCTTTGTATGTGGGAGGTCTCCAGACAACTTTTGAAGCCTGCTAAGAGGTCAAGAAGTACTTTGCTGGATCTTGTTCTGTTTCTTTAAAAACAGGTTTCTCTCTCTTGCTTGGACTCCAAAAGTATCTTTCTTCTATATGTTGTTTCTGCCCTGGGCTCTCTGCTGCTGCTTTGGAGGGCTCACCTATCCTCTAGGTTTCATCCTACATCTTTATCAATAATACATACTTAGACCCTGTTCTGTTATTTTCCGTGAAGGGTAGTTCTATAAAAGCATTCCATTCTGCATTTCAGTGCCATGCATTTGAAAAGGAATCCCATTATCCTGATTTTTCTGTATGTTGAATACCTGTCATAATTCTAGACTCTCAGATATGTAATTACATAGTTACTTGTAACTCTTCTTAAAACCACAGAAAGTATCAATAAATGTTAACTTTATCTTCTTTATCATTTATACTTAAGTGATCACAAGTCTTGACACTTATTTGAAGTCTTTTCTTGGTTCCTAAATATACCACCTTCTATTTTCTTACCTCCAATTCATATTGAAATTTATATTTCTTTACCGGCCAGACTAATGTTGGTAATTTTTCTTTATAAAATAGGAGTAATTGTCCCTATCTCACAGAGGCTACTATGAGGATTAGAAATAAGGTAAGGTAGGTAAAGTGTTTATCATGTGGTGTACTTCTTACCTCCTGCTAATTTTGATTATCTTTGCATCATGGAAGCAGCAAAGTGAATACCCTAAAATATGGGAGATAGAGCCCTGTGAGCCTTGGTTTGAGTCCCCAGTCTCCTGCTTACTATTTATTCTCCTTTAGAAAAATAGGTCAGTTTATTTTTTACTGATGGTTATGATTGTTGTAAGTGCAAAATGGGATAAAGATGTGTAAGGGAGAACAGTTAGTTGCTGTGCAAATATTCTCTTGTTTTTGTTCTTCCTGTACTTCATTCTTAAATCCTGTAATGTCTAATAACATATTTGGTTTAAGAAGTTTGAAGCAAGTGTGATAAGTTTTTCCTGTCTTCTTTTTGTAGGTTAAACCAATCTACAGTAATGGCTGCGGCCTTACCCAGGACCCTGGGAGAGTTGCAGCTATATAGAATATTGCAGAAAGCCAATCTGCTCTCTTATTTTGATGCCTTTATCCAACAAGGTGGTGATGATGTCCAGCAACTCTGTGAAGCTGGAGAAGAGGAATTTTTGGAAATCATGGCACTCGTTGGCATGGCTAGCAAACCCCTACATGTTAGAAGATTACAGAAAGCTTTGAGAGACTGGGTTACAAACCCTGGCCTTTTCAATCAGCCACTGACTTCCCTTCCTGTCAGTAGCATACCTATCTACAAATTACCAGAGGGATCACCAACATGGCTAGGAATATCCTGCAGTAGTTATGAAAGGAATAGCAGTGCCCGGGAACCTCATTTAAAAATTCCCAAATGTGCTGCCACTACTTGTGTGCAGAGCTTGGGACAGGGGAAGTCAGATGTGATGGGGAGCTTAGCACTGCAGAGTGTTGGTGAGTCCAGACTCTGGCAAGGCCACCATGCTACTGAGAGCGAACACAGTCTGTCCCCAGCAGACCTTGGCTCTCCGGCTTCCCCTAAGGAAAGCAGTGAGGCACTGGATGCTGCTGCTGCCCTCTCTGTGGCKGAGTGTGTGGAGCGAATGGCCCCCACACTGCCAAAAAGTGACTTGAATGAAGTGAAAGAGCTGCTAAAAAACAACAAGAAGTTGGCCAAAATGATTGGTCACATTTTTGAGATGAGTGATGATGATCCACACAAAGAGGAGGAAATTCGAAAATACAGTGCAATATATGGCAGATTTGACTCAAAGAGAAAGGATGGGAAACATCTCACACTTCATGAGGTAAGAAATGTGTGTGTGGTGTGTTATAATTCCTCAAAGGGAAATTTGGTAGTGGTTTTATTTTATTTATTTTTGCAGTGCTGGGGATCAAACCCAGGGGTTGTGTATACTAGGCAGGTGCTCTACCACTAAACTACATGCCAGCCCAAGTTTGTTGAAAGCGTGCAGAAAAAAAAAAAAAAAAGATATACTTCCTAAAAGTGATATTAAAAACAGTTCAGGTGTTAGCAAAATAATATTAAATGAGTCTGAATTTATTGTTTAGGGGTGTTTTGTGTTGCACTCAAACATGATTTAGCTTTGAAACAACAAAGTAAGTTTTAGAAAAATGTCAGAATTTAAACAGTGAAAGAAAGCCTAAAATCTTTGCATTTTTAAGAAGTTTGTTTTTTACTTATGAAATAAAGTAGGATTTTAAATATAGTGACATTTAAAAAAAATACCTTTATAGGCTTCTACTATAGAATTTGTTCCAACATACAAAAATTACTGAATCAAGGAATATGTAAATTTATTATTTCAATATTCTGCTAAAATGTCTTCTAAAAAAGCTGTGACAATTTATACTTCTGCTATTGTGCAAATAAATGTTTAGTTCTCCACATACTTGCTAATAGTGCATTTTACATTATTTTTCATCTTATATTCAGTCTAACAGATGAAAACTTTTTGTTGCTTAAATTTACTTTTCTTAGTGAGGATAAGTATTTTATATTTATTGTTTATATGCTTGAGGCATTTAACTTTATGTTCATATCCTTTGTTTTGGTATTATAGTTGTCTTACTTTTAAAAAATTGGTAAATATTTTTTATATTTTAGGGATATTAAGCTTTTGCCTGACATTGTAACATTTTTCCAAATTATTGTTTGTCCTTTGACCTTTCAGAGTGTTTTACCATGTGAAATTTTAATTTTATATAATCGTATTTACTGATCTTGTCCTATATGGTCTCATTGGTCTAAGTTTCTATTTCTTCATTTTTATAGAGTTATTTTAGTTAATGTAGCTATATAATATGGTATGCTCTTTGGAAAAGGACATATTTCTTCATTAATTTAGTTTTGTAACTTTTTTGTTTTTGTTTTTTGTATGATAATGTTACACAAATAAAATTTTAGATGCATTTGTTAGGTTTCTCAAAATGTTATTTTGATTATAAATGCCTTAAATGCATAAGTTAATTTGATAAAAATTGACTTATTTACAGTGAGACCCATACAGAAATATAGTATATGTATTTATTAATATACTAATGTATTTATTAATATACTAATATAGTATATTAATTAATACATATATTATATTCCTGTATGGGTCTCACTGTAAATAAGTTTTCTTTTGTTTTCCTTAGTTATATTATATTGTTTTTTATTTATGATACTAGGGATTTAGCCTAGAGTGCTCTACCACTACATCCCCAGCCTGTTTAATTTTGTGACAAGGTCTCGCTTGCTAAGTTGCCCAAGCTGGCCTTGAATTTGTAATCCTCCTGCTCCATTTTCCCCAGTTGCTGGTATTATAGGTGTATACCATGGAGGCCAGCTAGAATTCTCTCATTGATGTATATTTTGTACATTTCTTGTTAGGTCAAATATTAAATGTCTAGTATGTATGTTTTTAAATTTCTTTGATTTAAATAGGACATACAAATAAAGGGATATAATCCAAATGAGTTTTCCCCCGTTTTTTTAATGACTATCACTGGCTGAGATTTGTATATTAATCTTGTTTTCAGCAATTTAACCATTTGATCTTTAAAATAAGTGATTTTAGATATGAATACTGGAGCTTAAGATCAAAGAATTGGTTAGCAGAATGATTTAAATCACAATAAGTTTGTGACTGTTTTGTATGTGTCCTTTTGCAATTGTTAGGTGTCATTATTTCTACACAAGTGCCTCACAGAAACTTGTGTAGAAAACATGCTTAGCATTATAGTTCACTTTGATGCTTTTTTTTTTTTATTACCTATGAACCAGTAGAGGAATCCAATTAAAAAGCTATCTGGCTGTTATTAATGGAAAACAAGAGGCAAGCATGTTGGCAGTTTTAGTTTCATGCTTTAATGCAGTTTTCATAAAATTTTTTAAATGTAGCACATGAAACACAAAGATGAATCAAAAGACTTGTATTTTTATCAAGGTAAAATATTTTCAAAAGATTACTCAAAACAATCCAGTCAAAGTCCCCTCTGCTCCGTGTGTGTGTGTGTGTGTGTGTGTGTGTGTGTGTGTGTGTGTGTGTTTTGGTACCAGGGAATAAACCAGGGGCACTTAACCACTGATTCACAACTCCAGCCTTTTTTTATGTTTTATTTTGAGACAGGGTCTCAGGTTCTCACTAAGTTGTTTAGCACCTAAGTTGCTTTGAACTTTTGGTCCTCCTGCTTCAGCCTTCTAAGCCACTAGGATTGCAGATATATGACACCAGGCCTAGCAAAAAATTCTATTTTAAAAAATACTTTAAAAGTTATTTTTACACTTGGCTTTTGGTAAGGGGCTCTTTGCTTGTTTAGATAAATAAGTACAGGTGGTATTTAAGTAATGAGACCATCCTGGGTTTCCTGAAATAAGGGAACACTCAAAATGAATGCTAGTAGGCTGAGATATGGAGGTGGGGTCTTTGAAAAATGTGGCTTATGTTTTCAAGATTTAACTTAGACCACTGGTTACTTATAACTCAAGTTTGTGAATCTAGTCCAGTAATATAGGATAGATGTTTATGAATCAGTAAGCTTTTTTAAACTAGTAACTTTTTAAGACTTTGGATAAAATTATAAAATCCTGAGGGAATTTAAAGAAAGTATTAACTGTAACTTTGAGGTATTATAAAAATTTCTCATATTTTCATTTATTTGAATCAGAAAAACTTTTGTTTGTTTTTCTAAATTCCTTAAGATTAAAAAATGTTACTAGTTTGCCTTCAACTTCCAAACAAGGAAATGTATGACTTAATTCAATGTTGGCTTAATCTCATTGTCCTGAGAATTTTCTTTATAGAAACTCTATGGTGGGCTGGGGATGTGGCTCAAGCCGTAGCGCGCTCGCCTGCAATGCGTGTGGCCCGGGTTCGATCCTCAGCACCACATACAAACAAAGATGTTGTTTCCGCCGAAAAACTAAAATAATAAATAAATATTAAAAATTTAAAAAAAAAAAGAAACTCTATGGATACTGTTTTTTATTTTTCAAGACAAAGCAACTATATGTAGGTGTGGATGGAAGTTATCTACATCTGAATTTTTTTTTAACTCCCCTAAGTACCTGTGATTTTTTTCTTATAAACTTTTTATATTTTTATATTTTATATATTTATATTATATTTTTATATTATATTTTTATATTTATTTCCAAATGTATCGTATACTGTTTAGGAAAGAATTATAGTGTGAATCATGTTAAATGCTTATTTTTTTTTTTTTAAATTTGGTAGCTGTAGATGGGCTGAATGTCTTTACTTTGTTTTGTTTTTATGTGGTGCTGAGGATTGAACCCAGTGCCTCATGCATGCTAGGCAAGTGCTTTGCTGCTGAACTACAGCCCCCAGTCCCTAAACGCTGTTTTTTTTTTTTTTAAACTGAAGTTTTTTAAACTGAAGTTTAGGACCTGGCTAGACATAGTCTGGTTTATAGGAATCAGACCATGAAGTTAGTGTCAGAGGATGATGAGGTTTAGAACCACACAAGTAGTTGGTGTGGGACAAGTAGGACAAATGTACCCAGATGTAGTACTATAAGGAATTTCCAACACCCAGAATATTTTATTTATCCAAAGAGATGTTAGCAGACAGTAGATGCTAAACTAGGCTAAACAGTATGCTTCAGATCTTCAGAGAGAGGAATGGTTGGGAACAACAAGGTAGTAAAGAATATATATCTCTTGAAATTATATAGGAACTGGGCTGCACACTGGTTACCAAGACAAGGACCCAGGCCCATAAAATAAACAATGAAGCCATGCTTAGGTTGATTGCCATTGTAATGTTGAGAAGTCAAGGCTGAGGTGTTTCAGAGAAAGTTAAGTTTGAACTTTGAGAGAAAAGGAGTACAGAATCTGGTAGACTCAAAGACTGAAAAACATTATTAATAAGTTTTGATGCTGTATTCTGAATTCTTGGCTTAGAATTGAGAGTTTTTAGCATCTAATACTTCAAAAGAAATGTTGGGCATTTCCTTCTATTTATTTATTTATTTAATTTTTGTTCAGGGATTTCAATCCAGGGACACTTAACCACTGAGCCACATCCCCAGCCCTTCAAAAACTTCTTGTTTTGAGACGGGGTCTTGCTAAATTGCTTAGGAACTTGCTAAGTTGCTCAGGCCAGTGATTTTTTTTTTTAATATTTTTAGTCGTAGATGAACATAATACCTTTATTTTGTTATTTAGTTTTTTTATGTGGTGCTGGGGATGGAACCCAGTGCATCATATGTGCTAGACTGCTAGGTAAGCGCTCTACCACTGAACCACAACCCTAGCCCAGGCCAGTGATTTTTAAAGTAAGTTATAGGACTACTAAGGTACTCTGTTTCTTAAATCACTTGATAAATTTACAGTTTTTCTTACAATATGTCTGTTTCGTCTGTTTTCAAACTTGCTGGCTTGAAAGTTGTTTATGGTTTTTAAGAACTAATTGTGTCTGTGAATCTGTCTTTTTTTTTTACCCCTGGATCAACCTTGACAGAGGATTCTCAATTTTATTTTATTTTTTTCAGATATCTGCAAACTAGTATCTGTTTTTGTAAATAAATTCTTTTTGTGGTTCTGGGGATTGAATTCAGGGCCTTGTGCAGGTGGGGCTAGCATTCTACCAACTGGGCTATATCCCCAGCCTGTAAATAAACTTTTATTGAAACACATGCCATGCCTATTTATGTATTGTCTATGGTTGCCTTTAAACTATAATGACAGAATTGAGTAGTTGTGACATAAACTAGACTGTGAAGCCTAAAATATTTACTCTCTGGCCTTTTATAGAACCATCTTCCCAACTCCTGATCT